CATGGATACCTATCAGCTCCAGGACTCCATCCAGATCCCACAGCACATCTAGTCTCCCAGTCGCCTTCATTTCCTAGCTATGCCCCACTTACTTTTGAGGCAACCTCCCAAGTATTAATGCATTCAGTATATTTTTACATTTATGGGAAACCCAACATTTTAGAACGCTCTTTTTTTGCATTGTCACTTTTACCAAATGGCATTAAAATAGGTAACTAGCAAACCACAAGATACTATTATGGCTTTTCCTGTCTGAAACATAGCTCAACTCTTGGATTTTTTCATAATTTAGACAGGAAATACTAAAGAGAAGCATTGTAAATAATGCTGAAAAGGATTAGTTATAACAATTTATGTAAGATTTTATTATGTCTCTGTTTCTGTTGACAGTTAATGTTGCTTTTGAAGGAGGAGTATTAAGTTATTAGAAAAAAGAAACCAAAGTCTAAAACTATAGTCACTAAAGGCAGAAATGTAGAACTTATACAAAATAAGTTGAGACTGAATATACTAATATATTATATGAGCAAAAACTGTACCTAGAACTATTCTAAGGTTCAGAAATAATGCAGACCACTACCCTTCATATCCTTTATTTCTTGTTCACAGACATTCTTATTTAATTTCTAACAACCACATTTATGCAAAATATTTACATTATAATTTAACAAGTTTATGAGCTCATAATTTCTAACATTCAATTTTTACCAATTTTGAAATTAAAAACATACATGAAAATAGTTTTGTATAATCAATCTACAATTTAAAAAATAAAAACATATTTTCTCTTGGCCGTCTGTATTGAGAAATTATTTCAAACTGTTATGCATTCCTCATTTGTATAATTAAGCTATTCTGCTGCTGATGTAATCATGAGCAGTCTCCCTTTCATATTATATGTATTTACATATAAAATATACATTTCATCTTGGGGTTATATCTTGGTTTCTACTACTTTATCATTATTTTCATTCAATGTAATATTAGTTGCTTTTTATTTTAAAGCTATACCAGCTAGTTAAATTGATGTAAAATAATGACACACGAGTTATGCATCAAGGACCTCATAGGGTATATAAATTCAAGGTAAAAAAGTTCCGGAAAAATTCTGAGAGGTACTAAAAATTGTTATTTTTAGAGCAAAGGTGTTTAAACGACAGGTGAGAGCTTTGGTGAAAATATTATCAGCCAATGACCAATAGCTTAGATTGGAGATAGACGTTAGCCAAGCAGAGTAATTAATATGTATGAGCCTGGAAGATCTTAGTTCCTGTGATGCCTAAAAACTAGTGCTTGCCTTTAAGAGTAAGCTTGGTTGACTGAAAATTTTTTAAAAAGCCCCTCCCTCTTTATATTGATTTATGTCAGAGGCAGGCCTCCTTAGTTCCTAGTAGAAAAATAGAGTAAGATGGGGCTAGCACTGTGAGCACACTGCAGGATAAAGCCCTGACCTGCAGTGCCAGCATCCTATATGGGTGCAGGTTCTAGTCCCAGCTGCTCTTCTTCAACTGCAGCTCTCTGCCATGTCCTGGGAAAGCAGTAGAAGATGGCCCAAGTCCTTGGGCCCCTGTACCCACGTGGGAGACCTGGAAGAATCTCCTGGCTCCCGGCTTTGGATCAGCACAGCATCGACGAGTGAACCAGCAGATGGAAGACCTCGCTCTCTCTGTCTCTACCTCTCTCTGTAACACTATCTTTAAAATAAATAAAATAAATCTTTAAAAAAAAATAGAGTAAGCCAAAAGCAAATCTAAAATAAAAAAAAAAGCTAAATAATGTAACTTTGCTGTGATTTAGAAGGGGCAAGGAACCGGGTTCTAGTCCCGGTCGGGGCGCCGGATTCTTTCCCGGTTGCCCCTCTTCCAGGCCAGCTCTCTGCTGTGGCCCAGGAAGGCAGTGGAGGATGGCCCAAGTGCTTGGGCCCTGCACCCCATGGGAGACCAGGAGAAGCACCTGGCTCCTGCCATTGGATCAACGCGGTGCGCCAGCCGCAGCGCACCGGCCGTGATGGCCATTGGAGGGTGAACCAACGGCAAAAGGAACCTTTCTCTCTGTCTCTCTCTCTCTCTCACTATCCACTCTGCCTGTCCAAAAAAAAAAAAAAAAAAAAAGAAGGGGCGAGGAAATTTTACATCTGGGGTGATGAGGGAAGGAATTTCAAACCACAGAAAAATAACTTGAAAATAAATAACAGATTCAACTGATAGAGACATGGATTTCAGCTGCTATTACAAAAGTTCCTGAGAAGATTTTTGAATCCTGAGAGCCCTTTAGGTGTGAAGATCCATGCAGTTGACCTAAGAAAACCAATTATTTTGTTACAAACTAGCAACTTGTTCTAGGTTTAAATAGGGCAGAGTTGCTCATTGAATTAAACAAATAATTTTTAAATTTTGACAGCTATTGCCGTTACTAGCAAACCAGAAGATGTTTATTTTAATGCTTTAAAAAGAGCTATATTTAAGCCTGTTCAACATTTTTAAGCCTTTCTGTTGCTACAGCTGTCTTTTTCAGTAACTATAGAGAATTTATTTCTTCAATTTCAAGAGAATACAAGTGAAAAAACTGCTGTTTTCAAATTAATCAACCCAGTAATGTGTATATTTATATTTACTGTAAAACATTAAGTGTCTGGATATTCTTAGGATGACTTTTTAAACATAGTGGCCAATGGTTGTGCCCATTTTTCTATTTTTACCTTATTTATAACAGTTGCAGATTTTTACCTATTCTATAAAATGCAAAATGAAGAAATCATGCTAGGCAGGATATGGGTATTTCTCTTTTATATTTTATAGATTTATAGAATTTGTTGTTAACTGTTTTCTAATCTCATGAGATGCCAATTTTTTTTTCATTTCCAAGCTCTCAAGAAACTGCCATAGTTCGTTTTCAATGTTCATAAAATAATTTTTATTCTTGATGGCCTTTCTGACAAGTGAGGGGGAACAAGTGAGACACTGACACCACTGGAAACTTTCTGTGTGGGAATATCAGTGTCATGTGATCGTCTGCACCTTCACACAAGGTCTCTGTGAGGGGCGGTCTCACACATCAGGACCCGCCTGGTCTCGCAGCAGAGGGGAAGCCAGCAGAGCCGGGACGTGCTCGCCTGCTCCTGACCAAGCCTGTGCTCCAGCTGGGGACATCTCAAGGTACAGACACAGACAGCAGCTACTGTGGGTGTGTGAGTCCATCTCCACGTCGCCTCTCACCCTGTTGATGGCAGAGGAATAGAGTAGCACTTGGTATAGGAGAGATGTGTGGAAAGGTGGGGTTAAATTATGATCCATGTTAACATCTAAAGTTACCTTTATTCTAGAGGAGAGGGCAGGAGTGGATCAGAATGAGAATTTGTCAAAAGAATTTAAACAGACGTGAAATTTTTTATAATTGTCACATGTTTGGAGGAATATTTATTTCCTTTTTTTTGCAATTTTTTATTTTTTTATTTGACAGGTAGAGTTAGACAGTGAGAGAGAAAGGTCTTCCTTCAGTTGGTTCACTCCCCAAATGGCCACTACAACCGGCAATGCACTGATCCGAAGCCAGGAGCCAGGTGCTTCTCCTAGTCTCCCATATGGGTGCAGGGCCCAAGCACTTGGGCCATCCTCCACTGCCTTCCCAGGCCACAGCAGATCTGGACTTGAAGAGGAGCAACCGGGACTAGAACCAACGTCCTTATGGAATGCTGGCACTGTAGTCAGAGGATTAACCAAGAGAGCCATGGCACCGGCCCCCTATTTCCTTTTTTAATGCATTATATATGTACTTTTAATTCTCATCCTAATGGATGCAATTTTTTGACTAGCAATGAATAACCCAAACTTTGAATGACCTTTTCATGATGTCACTTGTAATAAAGTTTGAAATTTTTGCTAATATGAAAATTTTTATCAATAGAAATATAATTAAATATTTACCATTTTTGTTGATATTTATGTATATTGATATAACAAAAATAACTGCACAAAAATCAGTTATCTCAGATAATATATGACCTCGAGTTAAGATTTACATTTTAATTGGGAATATGTGGTTCTCATCTGTAATTTGAGAACTGTAGCATTGTGTAGACTTGCTGTTAGAATTACAAGTGATGGTTATCTCAGTTTATGATACTTTCATATGCCCCAACCTTGAATCCCATCATTCCTTCATTTTTCTCAACTCTAAGGTCATGTCCATGAAGATCAGTGACTATCAGGAGGATGAGATAAATGAGTGCTGGGATGTGATAGCAGCATGGGGTGTTCATTGAATTAGTGTGTGTGAGTGTGTGTGTGTGTGTGTGTCCCTCATGTAAGAGGTGCCTCTGTCATATTGTGTTGATCATTTTGAGATTTATGTACAAATTATATCCAGTCCCAAATTTTGGCAACTAATTAAGTTACTTTAAAACAGTTTAAAAGTTTAATACAGTATGTCCATAAACTGAATAGGATCTCTCTTCTAAAACATCACAAAAAGGAATTTAAATCACTTTTTCCTGGGCCAGCATTGTGATGGTGTGGGTTGAGTCAGCACCTGCCATGCCAGTTCCCATATCAAAGTGCTCGTTTGTACCCTTGCTGCTCTGCTTCAGATCCAGCTCCCTGCTAATGTGCCAGGGATGGCAGCAACAGATGACCCAAGAGTCTGTCCCTCGGCTACCCATGTGGGAAACCTGATGGAGCTCTGGTTCCTGGTTTCAGCCTGACCCAGCCCCTAGAACGCCAGCCATTTGGGGAGTGAATCAGTGGATAGAAATTCTAAGTTTCCCTCCATCTCTCTCTCTCTCTGAAACTCTCTGCTTTTCAGATAAATAGAATAAACTTTTAAAAAGCTTTAATGTTACTTCCAGAATTACAGAGATCTTAATTCACTTTCTGCAGGCCCGAGTGTGTATCATTCCTGTAGCTCTCCCTGTTACTCATGAATCATATTCCCGATTTTAGCTCAATCTATTATGTCTCCTGAAATATCTCTGGTCCTTTCTGTGTTTTAGCCTGAAACTCTTAGAAATGAGTGAGGAGAAAGTTACATACTCAGAACTGAAATTGTCTCATGCAAAGAAAAAGGAGGGCAAAAGACATCTAGCTCACAAAAAAAGAGGTAACTTTTCTTGTTTTCTGATTTCTGAAAATATAATGTATGTAGAAAAAATTAACATATTTAAAAACCATATCTATTCGATATGGATTGTCTAGTTCCTTAATTATTTTATATATTGGGAGATCCATTTATGTGTAATATCCATGAGATTTTTTATTAAGAAGAATATGTGATTTTAATGCTAAATTCCAGCATAAATGTTCATTCTGCTTAGGTTCTTATCTGTTTAACAAGCTCATTATATACCCCCCATTATTAATTTTTTTACAGAAAATCCATGCACAGTAATCCTGGGCATCATCTGTGCTCTGCTCCTGCTGGCAAGCATAGGGTTAGGATATATGTGTGAGTATGTGCACCTGTGTGGATGTGGGAGGCAATAAGAAAAAGAGAAGGAAATTGATTAGTCCAAGAAAATGTGGATTTTAAAAAGAAGAAGTCTTTTATTGGCCAGCGCACAGCTCACTAGGCTAATCCTCTGCCTGTTGCACCGGCATACTGGGTTCTAGGCCTGATTGGGGCGACGGAATCTGTCCTGGTGGCTCCTCTTCCAGTCCCGTTCTCTGCTGTGGCCCGGGAAGGCAGTGGAGGATGGCCCAAGTGCTTGGGCCCTGCACCTGCATGGGAGACCAGGAGGAAGCACCTAGCTCCTGGCTTAGGATCCACGCAGCGTGCCAGTCACAGCGGCCATTTGGGTGGTGAACCAACGGAAGGAAGACCTTTCTCTCTGTCTCTCTCTCTCTCACTGTCTAACTCTGCCTGTCAAAAAAAAAAAAAAAAAAAAAAGGCTTTTAGTTTTTTAGTTTTTCTTTTTAGTAGTGGTCTAGAATATGGACACTGTAATAGATTGCTGAAATGGAGGAAAACTTGTGCCTATTGTGAATGGGACATAAGGGACTATGTATTTGATATTGATAGATTTTTTTTTGACAGGCAGCGTGGACATTGAGAGAGAAAGACAGAGAGAAAGGTCTTCCTTTGCAGTTGGTTCACCCTGCAATGGCCGCCACGGCCGGCGCGCTGCAGCTGGCGCACCGCGCTGATCCGATGGCAGGAGCCAGGTACTTATCCTGGTCTCCCATGGGGTGCAAGGCCCAAGCACCTGGGCCATCCTCCACTGCACTCCCTGGCCACAGCAGAGAGCTGGCCTGGAAGAGGGGCAACCGGGACAGAATCCGGCGCCCCTCCTGGACTAGAACCTGGTGTGCTGGCGCCGCAAGGCGGAGGATTAGTCTAGTGAGCCGCAGCGCCGGCCAATATTGATAGATTTTTACAACCAGATATGAAATTTAATGTTGGAGCATAGGGGCATCATTGGAAATGAAGATTCTGATGTGTAACAAACACTTGAGTGATTTTTTTCAAATTATTTATTTGAGGGAGTGATGGAGAAAGAAAGGGACAAAGATCCCACCTGCTCGTTTTCAAAGTTTTAAAGCCTGCAACAGCGGGGACTGGGCTGCGTCACAGAAGTGGGACAGAAATGCAAACGCTCATGTGGGTGTCAGCGACCCATTCACTTTGAGCCATCACCACTGCCTCCCAGCATCTCCATGAACAAGAAGCTGGAATCAGGAACTGGACCGAGGATGCAAACCTAGGTGCCTGATATGGACAACAGGCATTCTAAAAAAATAGAACAATATGCTTTTTATTTTACATTTTTATTCTCAACTTAATGGAAGAAACTGCTGTTTCTCTCGTAGACTTTTAACTTTCCTTTTGCACATTAGAAATAGCCATATGAACTCATATGCCGTGCATATTTTATGCATTCATTATACATACAGGCAAATCCCTTATGTCAAAGTGTAAATGCTACATGGAGTCACATGCTGAGAAGTCATTATTTAAAGATGGCATAAAAACTATTTCAAGTTTTTAATTTTGTTTGTTTTGTATTTTATAAAATGACCACTACTTTTTATGTGCCTTAGAAATCATAGATTTCAAGTTAAAATATTGTAGTTATATGCAAAATCTATTTTATGGCCTGACACTTCAAAATATTTTGACTTTTCATTTTCTATGATCATATTCCCATGTACTCAACATTATATTCTTTCATATCTAGAATTATAGGATATGATCATAATTATCTGTTGAAGTCATTTGTGTTGTTAATTTTGTAATGTGGATTGAAGCTTTTCAGAAGTGTCCTAAATGCACAACACAAGATATGGGAAACACAAAAGAAAAGAATACTTCCTCAGTACAGCTGGAAGATCATTCAGTGGTGCCGTCCGGTAGAGGTTTGTACTCAATCTTTAGGTTAATAGCTGACAGGTTATTTTCATAGACTTACTGCCTTCTGTCCATTTCAATATATAAACTTTAAAAAGTTTATATTGGATCTTATGAGGAGTTTTAGGTTTTAACTTTACTCTCCTCATTAAATCTATTTTTAAAATTATAGTTAACTAAGCATTCGAGTTTGAAAAGATGTTTGGGTACAGAAAAACTCTTCTTTTATGCTAATTCCTTCTGAAGAAAAAATTAAATACCTAAAATCTTATTTTCTAAATGGCCTGGTGTCTTGGGATGGGGTTTGCCTTTTGTTTTGAAGAACGAGGCTGTGGCTTCTTGCAAGGAAGACCCTTTTGCTGGACAAGAAACTGGTACTATTTTTCTAAAGAAGAGGTAACGTGGGAGGAGAGCAGGAATTTATGCCGGAACATGGGTTCTAGCCTTGTGAAGATTGATGACATCCAGGAACTGGTATGTTCACTTAATTAACTTTTATGAGAAGCTTGCGAAGACTGAGTTAGGCTGCCTGTGTAGGCTTTCCTTGAGTCTTATGTGATGTTAGCGTGGAAACACTTGTATTTGTAGAGGAGAAGATATGCTTTAAGGGACCTAAATAATTTCTTTCTAGAGCAGCAGAGGTGGCTTGCTGTATGTGCCATGGAATTATACTGAGTCCTTACTATTTGTGTCTTCACGATTAATGAAACATAAGAAAAATACCTGAATGAGTGAATTAGTTGGCACTTAATTTTAGTGATTCTTTAGAGGCTTAGGATAATAAAGCATAATTTAAAACTTCTTCTACAATATCTCTCTACCTTTCCTAGTGTAAAAAGAGACACCATTAAAATTTTCTTTTTATAGAAGATAACTAAAGTGGAAAAATAATGGATTGTGTATCTGGGACAGAGAACGAGAGTTAATAGAGAAATGGAGAGAGTAAATTGCATTTAGGAAATAAAATCAATTTTTTGCTTAACATGTGAGTACCCAAGGAAAACATTTAAAATGAATAAAATATAACTGAAATAATTACAAAAACATACACTCCTGTTAGGTTTACAGTGTGTCAGGTCCTTGCATGCATTATTTCAGTGCATGAAAACTTCCAATAAATAATGTCATTCCCATATTTAGTCAAGGAGAAACTCAAGGAGTTTAGAGATTCAGACTTTCATTTAGGTCTTTCACTTCCATTGATTCTCTGCACAGTAGATGAGCTAGGATTGTCTTAAGTGAAATGATTGGTATTTTGTACAATCCTTTGTAGATAAAAAGTTTTTATTGATGTAATGATTAATACTAGTAATTCTAATTTGTGCACAGAAATTCATTCAATCACAAATCAAATACAGTTACTGGATTGGATTATATAAAAAAGGAGACAAAAATGAGTGGATGTGGCAGGACAGCACGAAACTTGCTCTGCATCTGTAAGTTTGCATTTTACATTCTATGCATTCAGTTATTTTTTTTCTAAGCAATTGAAGCATGTATTATGGGTTAACAGCAGGTAAAGATTCTTAAAGACTTTAAAAATGACCTTGGGCTGGTGCCATGGCGCTGTAGTTCAATCGTCTGCGTTAGGCACTGGCCTCCCATATGGGTGCCAGTTCTAGTACCGGCTGCCTCTCTTCCAATCCAGCTCTCTGCTGTGGCCTGGGAGGGCAGTAGAGGATGACCCAATTCTTGGGCACCTGCACCCCTGTGAGACACACGGAAGAGGCACCTGGCTCCTGGCTTCCGATCCGCACAGCTCCGTGGAGTGAACAGCGGGTGGAGAACCTTTCTTTCTCCCTCTCACTGTCTGTACCTCTACCTCTAAAATTAATAAATAAAATCTTAAAAAAAATAAAATAAAAATGTCCTTAATTCGATGTGATCTCACATCTCAGATGTGAGATGACTGAGATGACAAATAAAAATCTCAGAGCCCTAAATAAGCAGCCCCAAAAGGCATTATTTTTTCCATTGACTTAATGGAGAATCCTTCAAAACGTAGTAAATTAACATTGTTCCTTTATGTGACATATGCTGTATTGGCAGGTGAGGTTGGAAGAGAGGGATGAAAACTTGTTTCTCTACCCAGTTCTCCCTTTAAATGCAATCTGTAGCTGTATACCTGCTCTCTGTAAAGACTGAAGTAGATTCATTTCCAAATAAACCATTAAAATCTTAAATCTAATCTGCAGATTAATACTTTTCATGCTATTGAATTTCAGTAGTTCACAAAATTATTGGTAACTCATAGTAGTAAAATAACATAGATTTATCAATAATGAGCAAATAAATCTGTGACAATGGCACTAGGGAGTTAGGGGTGGAACTAAATGATTGAGGAAATCACATAGTGTAGTAGAGGATCCTGAGTGCCTTGGAGCACTATTCAGTCCCTGCTGGGTCAGGGAGTACAGTTTGTGTGTGGGGAGTGGAAGGAACAAGTTTTATGTTTTCAATAGGGGAGACACGGGTGATCTCAATGAGATAATGGTGTTGGTATAATGATTTAAAGGAGGTGAATGAGAAAGATAAGGGAGCTCTCTGATGGGGTAGCATCCTGGGAGGAAGACTAACTGGTCTAGAGATGGGAGAACACATTTGGTTTGCTCATGAAAACAGCAGGAGGATCTGTGATGTGGGAGGAATCAGAGTAAGGATGGAGAAGTAGGTCAGAGAGATGACAAGGATGATCATCTAGGAATCAGAGACCACAGCAAGACTTTGGCTTCTTCATGAGTGTGGTGATTCACTTTGGGGGATTTTGAGCCAGGGGATGACAAGAACAAGCTTCCTATTTTAGAGTCCCCTGCACACTGTGTTGTCCTTAGGTGGTGAATGGGCGATACAGACTGCAATTAAGGGAGTCACACTGAAAGTCAGTTGTTGTCAACCAAGTGAGAGATGGTGGTGGTTTGGTCAGGACAGTTAGGGAGGGTGCTGGGGATACGGGCCCAGATGCCAGACCTACTGTGAAAATGTGTGAGAGAAAGAGAAATCAGAGTTGGTGCCATGTTTTAGTCCAGCAATCATGAGACTAGAGCTGTCATTAACTGTTATAAGGAACATCAGGTATTAGTTTTAGTTACAAGTTTGATACATCCATTATAGATTTCTGTGGGCATGTCACATAGACATGTTGGCACATGATTATGAAGTTCATGTAAAAGTTTGTCCTGCTGATGTGTACTTAGTGTGTGTCAGTGTATGCAGCGGTGTTAACACTACGAGATGATATTCTGAGGGCTTTTTTATGCCCTATATTATTTGAAAGGCAAACTTAGAGAGAGAGTGATCCTCCATCTCCTGGTTGACTCCCCAAATAGCCACAACAGCCAGGGATGGGCCAGGCCAATGTAGGAGTCAGGAGCTTCATCCAGGTGTCCCATGTAGTGGCGGGAGTCCCAGGACTTGGGCTATGTTCTGTTGGTTTCCCAGCACATTGACAGGAGCTGAATTGGAGGTGGAGCAGCCATGAATTGAACAAGGGCTCATATGGTTTGTTGGCATCTCAAGCAGCAGCTTCATTCACTGTGCCACAAGGCCAGCCCCTGTTGTGAGGGCTTTGATTGCTGAGATATCCAGGACCTGATCGCTGGTTCACCCAAACATTTAAGAAGTTGTGGTGATGAGGATGATTACAAAAGGTTTCTATGAAAAGTAGTGAGATAGAAAAGAGGAAACCAGGAAAGAGTAGTGGGATACCTAAAAAGGGCACAACTAAAGCAATGTGCCGAAGTTAAATGGTTGGTGACTTCTTGCCAATAATAATTTTCTGACTTGAAATTATTATTATTGGACTCATGTATCTGGTGGAAAATTCATATTATACACTTTTTCCATATATCATAGCATAGTCCTATAACTTAGAATCCATGTTGAATATCCTCATTGTCCTGCTTCACAAAATACTAATGCTCTGTTTGGTTGACAAGACAGGAGCTCAGAGGGAGTAAGGTCACCTTGTGTGTGAAATGCCAACCAGCTCCTCCTAGTGCTGAAGGTGAGGAAGGCGCTGTGGCCTCCTGCTACCTGCCCATCAATCTGAGTCACAGGACACTGGAGCTGTCACTGTATCTAATTATAATGCGTCATAATAACCTTACCTTATTTAGTAACTCCCGTGAGTTTCACAAATCTCAGAAGAACTTCCAGAATGTGCTCATCTAAATCCTGTCCACTGTGTCCTTTCCACTTTGTCCTCATCTCCAGTCATTCACCAGCATGAACTGTACCTTAGAAATTCTTACACCTGCTGATTTAGCACTTGTACATCTGTCAGAGGGATTTTGTGTTCACTTAATAATCACACACACACACACACACACATTTTTAAATTGTGACAATGAATATTTGCCCAAAGAATGATATTCTAAAATAAGTATACTCTCTTACATAGGCATTTCCGTCAGTCAAATAATGTGGATGAAAAATGTGGATGCCTGAATCCACACTATATTAGTAGTGGTGAATGTTCAAGACGTTTTCGTTACATTTGTGAGAAGAATAAGCCCTTCTTCAATTAATTAGTACTGTTTTATGGAAAGCAGTATGGAGATTCCTCAAAGACTGAAAATGTATCTTCGACATGACTCAGCCATCCCTGCCTCTAGGAATATATCCTGCAGTAACAAAGTCAACAAGGAAAACGATACCTGCACTCCCATGTTTATAGCATCCCAGTGCTTAACAGATATATGGAATAAGCATAGATATCATTAACTGATTACTGTGTGAAGCAAATGTAATATTTATGTGTATATATATATGATGAACTATTACTGAGACATGAAAAGAATGAAATTCTGACTATTTGCAACAAAATGAATGCAACTGGAGATCATTATGCTACGTGAAATAAGGCAGACACAGAAAGATTAATATCACATATTCTCTCATATGTGGACATTAATATAAAGAGTAAAAGCTATGTGAATATTATTTTTTAGGCAAGTTTCAAAAACTTTAATAAAGGAAAAAAGACACTTTCAAAAATAAATGCCACACTAATGAAAAGTTTAAAAAAAGAGTGAAAGATACCAAGAAACAAAAGCCTTTACTATCAAAATATACTAAATACTTAAATCTAAAGATGTTGAGTGTTCAAATTCAGGGCAAATGTAGCTTATATATATAGCCAGTGAAGCAGTATTTTTCACATTATGGCTATTTCAAGACATCACTTAATAAAGTTGCTTTTTAAGACTATATGTTCTTAAACATCCATTTCACAATTCATTTAATTATTTTACATTCGTTTTTAAAAACACATAATTTCTAGAGCCGGCGCCGTGGCTCAATAGGCTAATCCTCCACCTTGCGGTGCCGGCACACCGGGTTCTAGTCCCGGTCGGGGCGCCGGATTCTGTCCCAGTTGCCCCTCTTCCAGGCCAGCTCTCTGCTATGGCCAGGGAGTGCAGTGGAGGATGGCCCAGGTGCTTGGGCCCTGCACCCCATGGGAGACCAGGAAAAGCACCTGGATCCTGGCTCCTGCCATCGGATCAGCGCGGTGCGCCGGCTGCAGCGGCGGCCATTGGAGAGTGAACCAACGGCAAAGGAAGACCTTTCTCTCTGTCTCTCTCTCTCACTGTCCACTCTGCCTGTCAAAAAAAAAAAAAAAAAGTTCATAAAAACACATAATTTCTAACAACAAGGTTATTTTGTGCTTTAATAAAATAGTGAACCATGATCAAATACTCAAGTGATTTAAATCCTTTGTTAACAACTACACCCATCACAGATTCCTGCACACTTACACAGCTACTACAATAATCAAGAGCTACAACTGTTCTTAAAAATGACACTCACTCAAGTTTGATAAGCATGCTAAACACTAAAGAGATGTATTTTTCTCAAGTTAAAACATTGGAGCTTTCTAGATTTTCTTAAAATCTACAGTTGCCTAATTTAAAGCATTTTTAACTGGCAATTTATAAAAACAGAAGGAAGTATCTATTTAGGATTTTCTTTGTAACTTCTATAATAAAAATGTTTTTCAAATTGTGATGGCATTAAAATTCTGCTTTAGAAATTTCAGATTTTAAAATGTTAAGAATTACACTGCCTATTACATCTAGAAGAGCATTTTTTTTAAATTAATCTAGTGATTCCTCAGGTCTACAAACACAATTTTCTTCATGGTGGGTGACACTGCCTTACACTCACTTCAAGACCTTTGCAATAATCCATTTTAGATGTGATTTAAGACAAACTCCATCTTCTAAATTCTCCTCTACAAGAGACCAAAGTATACGATCTTATAGATACACAATTTAATAAAGAGATACTAACCTAAAGCAATAAAGCTTATAATTAATGGTGATTAATGCCAAACACAATAGACTTCATAGTCACAATTTGGAAATAACTTTCATGCAAAATTTTACACAGAGCTTTAGTTCTTACTTATAAAGTAATTTTCACTTTTTTTTTTTTTTTTTTTTTTTGACAGGCAGAGTGGACAGTGAGAGAGAGAGACAGAGAGAAAGGTCTTCCTTTGCCATTGGTTCACCCTCCAATGGCCACCGCGGCCGGCACACTGTGGCGGCGCACCGCGCTGATCCGATGGCAGGAGCCAGGATCCAGGTGCTTTTCCTGGTCTCCCATGGGGTGCAGGGCCCAAGCACTTGGGCCATCCTCCACTGCACTCCCTGGCCACAGCAGAGAGCTGGCCTGGAAGAGGGGCAACCGGGACAGAATCCGGCGCCCCGACCGGGACTAGAACCCGGTGTGCCAGTGGCGCTAGGCGGAGGATTAGCCTAGTGAGCCGCGGCGCCGGCCTGTAATTTTCACTTTTTTAAGTAATCAAGACAAATAGTAGAAAAAACATTTTATTTATATGGAAAAAGCTACAGTAAGATCTGTAAAAGGTGTCAATATAATATTGCCTATACAGAAAAAAATTCAAATGTGAATAGCAACAAATAAAAGTTATACATCTTCCTACTTAGCAGTGCAATTAATTCACATTGCAATAAAGTTAAGTCAAGTATACAAAATCAAAACAAGTGTTTCTCCATAATCAGTATACTCAAAATTACAGTGTAAAGATCATTTCAGGTTTAAGAAATTTGCGATCAATCTACAGAATATCCTAAGACAAGGGAGACACAGTTAATTTATTTAATTATCAGCTGTTGGGTTTTTCAATACTATTCACAGGAAAAAAATAATGAGTTGACACACATGTAAACAGAATATATTTAGTCTATACAGTAAAAAAATACAAATTATAAAGTGAGCTAACAAAGAATGAAATCTGAATACAGATTTATAAAAGTGACGACATCTTAGACAACACGTACAGTATTTCTCATGTAAAAACATCTAGTTTCAGCAAAAAATAATTTGGTTGCTTTTCAGCTGCATTGTAGGTCTTGTAAACTGAAGATGCAGATGTCCAAGTATCTTAAATACCATAATAATGTCTTTCTCAATGCATACAAAATGATAAATGCTCTCATCACAGACTTAAGGGTATTTTTGGAAGTTTGTTTTGTCTTGCTTCAGAAACACACTTAAGATGGGAAAAATCAAAGAGTTTCATGGTACAATGAAACAGTAAACAGTGCTCAATTTACTGCTAATGATGAAAAAAAACCTAGATTTTACAGTATTCTGGTATATATGAAAAAAATTTCATTTTACATTGCATATTTCTGAGTCCATTCTCTTGCATGTCTGTTGTATTTTTCTTTGTCTGATTTATATATTTGTGCAATATCTGGTACTAAACGGTCATCTGGATTAGGATCACAAAGTAGAGAACATATGGACAATAAAACTTTTGATACAGTCAGGGCTGGTGACCACTGGGACCTCAGGATATCTAGACAAATACTTCCATTACTGTTTATATTTGAATGGTAAATCTTGGTTGTGAAAGCAATCTTTGGTGGCTTAAAAGGATAATCTGTTGGAAAATGTACGGTGAGGAAGAAGACTCCACCTTGATATGCACTATCGGGAGGCCCCATAATAGTTGCTTGCCAGTGGAACAAGTCATCTCCCACAGGGCCAGCGGAACAGTGAGCCGGTGGCTCACGCTGTAGATCACTTAATTCTTTCTGAATCCGCTTCAGCGCCATGGGTCAGGGAGGGCAGAGGGGACACCGGCTGGCGGGGAACGGCTGTGGGGCTCGGGGCGTGGGTGGTCGCGGGCGGGCTGCTCGGCTGGTTCTGCCGGTGCGTCCCGGCTCGCCGCTGGCTGGCTCGCTCTGGGAGCCGGTGGCTGCTCGAGTGCGCCCGAGCGTGAGTGTGCCAGTGAATATTATTTTTACTATATACATTCATATAAGTATTTACTCCACTGGATTGTATCATATACATAACAATGCCCCTCTTTTCTTTACATTGTGATGACCAACATGAATCCCACATTATGTAATATTAATATTCCCATTTAAAGCAAAAACAATGTATATGTATGCGTATAATATCACCATATGAGGTGTATATTGCAAAATGTTAAAATTGTTAAATCTTAAAATAAATTTCTAAATAAATTTAAACAAAAATATATTTTATTTTGACTGACACATGGAGAGTAATTATATAGGGTTATTGGGAATAGTATGATATGTAATATGCATTTGCAATATTAATGATCCACTAAGGGTAACTAGCATGTCTATCAACTCAGACATTTATTACTTCTTTGTGTTGAGTATATTCAAAATCATCTTTACTAACTAACTTGAAATATTCATAATTGCTATAAGACATTAGAAGTTATTTCTCATAAGCAGTTGCACCTCTGTATCAATCAACATCTTTTCTCCATCACTCTCTGCTACATGCTTCTCAGGCTCTGGTAACCACTCTTCTAGTCTCTGCTTTAAGATCAATGTTTTAGCTTCCATATAAAAGTGAGGACATTTAGGGGGCCGGCACTGTGGCGCATCAGGTTAACGCCCTGGCCTGATGTGCTGGTATCCCATGTGGGTGCCGATTCTAGTTCCGGCTGCTCCTCTTCCAATCCAGCTCTCTGCTATGGCCTAGGAAAGCAGTGGAAAATGGCCCAAGTCATTGGGATCCTGCACCCATGTGAAGACCCAGAAGAAGCTCCTGGCTCCTGACTTTGGATTGGTGCAGCTCTGGCCATTGTGGCCAACTGGGGTGTGAACCATCAGACAGAAGACCTAACTCTCTTTCTCTGTCTCTCTCTGTCTCTCTCTCTGTAACTCTGACTTTAAAATAAATAAATATATCTTAAAAAGTGAGAATATTTAGTACTCATCTTTCTGTATGTTGCTTACTTCACTAAAAATAATGTATTCCAATTCTATCCATGCTGCTGCAAATGACAGATTTTAATTCTATTTTATGGATGAATAAGATTGCATTATGTCTATATACAAAGTATTTTTAAAATTAATAAATACTTAGGTTGATCCCATATCTTGATTTTTGTGAACAGTCTGAAATAAACATGCAAGTGTAGATTCTTCAATACACTGAAGTCAATTCATTTGGTTACAAAAGGATTAGTGGGATTGCTGGATCAAATAATAATTCTGTTTTCAATGGGAATTACTTTTTGGTGGTATAACCAATCAGCGGTGGAAATATCCCCACTTGATGGATTCGTGATTCTCACTTTGGGATTTCTAAGAAACTCTATTTGGATCCCTGCCCCCCGCCCCACTTTTTGGCATTTCAGTTAAATATTCTTTTTCTTAATAGTTCCATATTAGTGTTTGATGGAGAATAAAGCTTCTGAGCTCTGAAGATCAGCATGGTTCACTTCACAATGCAGGTTGATAACACTCTCCAATACTACTTGCTACAGCTTGTGGGAGACCTGCCATACACAAGGATAAGCCATCTGTCTGACACAAGAAAGAAGGAATAGAACAAACCCCACCACCAAGGCTAGGTAATTAGCATATGCAGAACTATGACAACCAGGCCAATAGGTAACCATGTTCTCTGCTAGGAGCTTAGTAAGCACTGAAGAGCAAGCAACAACTGCTTTCTTCTACTAGTATGTAAGGTCAAGAGCCCTTAAAGAAACTTTCTCTGTGTTTCATGAATGCAAAGATTATGGGTGGTTGAGGTGTTGCATGAAAATCCTCACCAGCGTGGCAGATTCAGCATAAACTGAAGGGCCAGCGCCATGGCGCACTAGGTTAGTCCTCCGCTTGTGGTGCCGGCATCCCATATGGGTGCTGGTTCTAGTCCCCGTTGCTCCTCTTCTAGTCCTGCTCTCTGCTATGGCCTGGGAAGGCAGTGGAGGATGGCCCAAGTGCTTGGGTCCCTGCTCCCAATGGGAGACCAAGAGAAAACACCTGACTTCTGTCTTTGGATAGGCATAGCTCTGGGATTGCAGCCATTTGGGGAATGAACCAATGGAAGGAAGACCTTTCTCTCTGTCTCTCTCTTTCACTGTCTGTAACTCTACCTGTCAAATAAATAAATAAAAAATCTTTTTTTTTTCAAGAGAATTAAATCGTTTATTGATTACACAGGATAATGGATGATACACAGCTTCATTCCCATCTGTAATTTTATCTGGTACCATTATTCAATTTAGATATATTGCAAAGGATGTGCCAACAATCATTCTTATAACCAAATAACCCCATGACTTTGCTTGGGTGGCTTTTAATGGTGAACTTCAGAAGGTCACAACAGTAACTCATGTATCTGAGAACAGCTTCTCCACCCAAGCATTTTGTAAATAAATCTCAAATGGAACCTGGCATCACCCTGATGAATTCTGACTTTACACTTTTTGGGGAAGTTTACCAAGATGGCTTCAGAGTAAACTTTACACAGCACATTTAAAAAAAAAAAACACATTTATTCAGCGTCATGATCAGACTATTACATTTAGCAATCAACAGCATGGGTGCAAAAGAGAAAAAAAGAAAAAACTACATTAAAACCCTTTGTTGGAATGCTTTACACTTTCCACAGAACAGAAACTAAAATAACCTGTTATACAATTAGTCACAAATACAGTCCTCGAGTTTTTTTGCCCATACACATGAGTATTGTCTAAAACATGTCTTCTTTGTAGCAGCTAGGCCCTGCCACCACTGTGCTTGGCTGAGTTCACAAATCTGTTGTAACCTGTAGCTTCCCTGTCACTTCTCTGGCTCTCCTCTCCTGCTAAGCTTTGTTTCCTGGCAGTTATTAAAACCTTCTGCCACTGCCATAGCTGCTGCTGCTGCTAGAACCACCATAGCCACCTTGATTTCGTGGTTTGGCAAAATTTTGGCCGCCACCACCATAGGGGCCAGAGCTTCTGCCTCCAAAATTTCCTCCCTTCATGGGTCCAAAATTTGAAGATTGATTGTTGTAATTGCCAAAATCATTGTAGCCTCCGCTGCCTCCAAAATTGCTTCCACTACCACCGCCAAAGCCGCCTCCACCGTTGTTATAGCTGTCATAGCTGCCACTCCTGCCATAGCCACTGCCCTGGTTTCCATAACCCTGTCCACCACTTCCATAGCCTCTGCTTCCTCCAGAGTAACCAGGGCCGCCTCCTCCATAACCACCGTCATTACCAAATCCATTGTAACTAACCATCCCCACTGCCACCATAACCACCTCCACCGCGGCTGCTGCCGAAGCCACCACGACCACTGAAGTTTCCTCCACGACCAAAGTTGTCATTGCCACCAAAACCACCTCCACGACCACCACCAAAGTTTCCAGAACCACTTCGACCTCTCGGGGTGGACGAAGCGCTGGCCATCTCCTGCTTCGACAGGGCCTTCCCCATTTCACAGTTGTGGCCATTCACAGTGTGGTATTTCTGAATGATAATCTTATCCACGGAGTCATGGTCGTCGAAGGTCACAAAAGCAAAGCCCCTCTTCTTGCCACTGCCTCGGTCAGTCATGATCTCAATCACCTCGATTTTCCCGTACTGCTCAAAGTGATCTCGGAGGTGATGCTCTTCAGTGTCTTCTTTAATGCCACCCACGAAGATCTTTTTCACAGTGAGGTGGGCACCTGGTCTTTGGGAATCTTCTCTCGACACAGCCCTCTTTGGTTCCACAACTCTTCCATCCACTTTGTGTGGCCTTGCGTTCATGGCCGCATCCACCTCCTCCACGGTGGCGTAGGTGACAAACCCAAAGCCCCTGGAGCGCTTGGTGTTCGGGTCTCTCATTACCACGCAGTCCATGAGCGTGCCCCATTGCTCAAAATGGCTCCTCAGGCTCTCATCGGTCGTCTCAAAGCTCAGCCCTCCGATGAAGAGCTTCCGCAGCTGCTCGGGCTCCTTGGGCGACTCTGACTTCGACATGACGGCGGTGGGAAGAGAGAACTCGACGATGCTTCCTCGGCGGCGTCCGCAGGCAGAAAGGAGTAAGCCAACGAGCGTATCCCAATAAAAAATCTTTTTAAAAAAAAGGTAGAGCAGGCCGGCGCCGCAGCTCACTAGGCTAATCCTCCACCTGCGGCGCCGGCACCCCTGTTCTAGTCCAGGTCGGGGCACCGGATTCTGTCCTGGTTGCTCCTCTTCCAGTCCAGCTCTCTGCTGTGGCCCAGGAAGGCAGTGGAGGATGGCCCCAAATGCTTGGCCCCTGCACCCGCATGGGAAACCAGGAGGAAGCACCTGGCTCCTGCCTTCGGATCTCTGCAGTGTCAGCCTTAGCGGCCACTTGGGGGGTGAATCAATGGAAAAAGGAAGACCTTTCTCTCTGCCTCTCTCTCTTTCTCTCACTGTCTAATTCTGCCTGTCAAAAAAAAAAAAAAAAAAAAAGTAGAGAATTCAACTTCTGCTTTGTCATGAGCATAGCAAAAAAATAAGCCCAAACCAAATGAACTCCTGAGTAGTTTGTCTATTTTGCCTACACTAACTGCTCCAGAGGATATGCATCCATTGTCAGATATAAATACTGTTTATCACTAGCTCCCAATTCGAAAAAAATGGAGCAGCTTTCAAGAAAATGAGATGCCTGAGGAACAAGGGAAAGAACAGTAGCAATGGTTGGTCCCGAAATAAAGTTGGTCATAGATGACATTCAGAAATTATTCTAAAATTTTGCTGAAAGAAAAACACAGGAAACACAGAGGTAGTTCAAAATGCTACCCAAATGAAAGAACAAATAAGTAAGGCGTGAAAAAAGTAACATAGCATTCAAACACTGTGGGACACCGTCAAAATATTTAGATAAACTTAA